TTTTTCATCATTTGAACCTACACCTGAATCACTTGATCGAGTATTTGATGTTTTAATTGCAGCTGATAAACGACGTGAAGAACATGAATTTTGGAGAGAAAAATTTGATCATCGTACAAGTAATTCACGTTCATCAATATCAAATACAAGAACACATGATATGACAATAAATTCAAATACAGTACCATTTCTTCGTACAAAACAACAAACACAATTAAATATAAATTCAAATTTAAACAATATTGATAATCGTACACAATCTTATATAAATAAACGTAATTCATCATATGATTCTAATAATCGACAGAGTGGTTGTTTATTAGAAGATTGTCTTCGACGACGAACTTTAATTATTCAACAACAACAACAACAACAAAAATTACAACAATTACAATCACAACGAAATTATTCACCAAATACAATTTATTCTACTAATTATCCTAAACAACAATTACTTCCAACTAGTAAACCACCACTTCCTACAAAAACAACAGCAGCTACTACTACTACTAATCAACAACCAGTACGAATTTTTCCATTATCAAATGGTCGTATAGGTCGAGCTCCACAAGCTCGACAAACATCAGATGAACTTTCGTCTATATCAGATGTATGGGCAACACGTTCATCTTTCGAAGATGAATCTCATCATACGAAAAAACCAATAAATTATACTCGTTTTCAATCAGCTGTTAATCGTAATCGAACATATGGTCAAAAAACTCTTAATAATAATAATAATAATAATAAACGTGCATCAAGTGTTGAACAACAAAAATCAAATAGAACACAAAATAAAAATTTAACAGCTAAAAGCAAATTTTTTGATTTATTTAAATTTACGCGTTAGTTTTTCCTTTTCTTTTTTTTTTGCTTATAAAAAGAAGCAATAAATGAAATACATATATATATATATATATATATATATATATGTCAATATAAATGAAATCTTATAGTCAAATAAAAATAGAATTTGACACAAGAAGTTTTCCAGCTTGTTGAATTCCATAAAAAAAATAAATCAAAAATCCAATAATCATCCATAAAATAAAACGTATCCATGTTATCAAACTTAATTTTAACATTAAATAGAGATTACAAAATATACTAAATATTGGTAACCATGGTGTACATGGTGTTACAAATATATTATTTAATTCATCTGATATATTTTGTTGTTTTTTAGAAAATTTTCTTTGAATTAATAAAATTAAAATACATAATAAAAATGTAAATATTATTATTGATATTGGATTTATATAATCATGATTTTCAAATGAATAAATTGATATAAAGCATAATAATAATATAATAATTACTATAGAAAATAAACTTTTACTTAAATTATAATTACTATCATCATCGTTTATTTCATAATGTGATATTAAAATAGCTAATGCAACTTGTGTATATGCAATTAATGTTCCTATACTTAACATTTCAACTAATGTTAATAAATCAAATATCAATGCCATTAATGCTGATATAAAACCACCAATAAGTGTTGAATAAATTGGTGTACGAGATTTATTTGATATTATACCAAATATTGAAAATAAAAGACCATCTGATGACATTGAATATAAAACACGAGGTAATGGAAATAATGATCCAATTATACTCGATGTAAGACCAGTAATAGCTCCAAGTGTAACTATAAACAACAACAAAAAAGAATTATCAATCAATATAAATAAATAATCTTACTTGCAATTTTAACATATGAAAGACCAACACGTTCAAATGCATCAGGTAATGATGCATCAACTCGTATTGAATAATAAGGTACAATTAATGTTAATACAGCAGCAACAGCACAATAAACAATACAACAAATCAATAGAACAAGACATATACTAATAGGTATTGCTTTTCGAGGATTTTCTGTTTCTTCACCTGTTGTAGCAATAAGATCAAATCCAACAAATGCATAAAAACATGTAGCTGCACCAGATAACACACCTGAAAATGAATAAGGTAAAAATCCACCAGTTCCTGCTTGAATTATTGATTGATTTTGTTTTATTTGTTCTATTGATATATGCCAATTATCTGTATTTACTTTAAAAAGACCACTTATAACAATAACTAAGCAATAAAAAAAAAAATTAGAAAATTAAATCTCTTCTTGCTTTTCTTTTTTTTTTTGTTTTTCTCTATCTTACTTGCTACACTTGTTAAATTTATTGTTGTACAAAAATTATTCATTCGACTTGATTCTTTAACACCAATAGCTAAAATAATTGCTGTTATTAATGTTAAACAAAATGCTCCTATATCCATATATGGTGCAAACATGCCATATGGATTATTAAATGGAAATGGAAAATTCTTTTGAGAAAAATTACTCATACGAAAATCAATTATTGAATCAACTGAACTTGTCCATGCGCGTGCTGATGATGCTATCTATGCCAAATGAAAATGTTTCTCATTGTTTTTCTAATACAAAAAAAAAATGAAAATTTATTTCTTACCAGCTCCAACTATATATTCAAGAATTAAATTCCAACCTACAAAAAGAAAAGAATTAAAATATCTTAATTCATATTTTAAATCAATAAATATACCCGTAATAAAAGCTGCTAATTCTCCAATAATAACATATGAATAAACATAAGCAGATCCTGCACGTGGATATTTTGAGCCTAATTCTGCATAACAAAGTCCGGAAAATAATGAAGCCATACCAGCAATAAGAAATGATAAAAGAACACCAGGACCAGCTAAATCTCGTGCAACTATACCCGCAAGAATATAAATACCAGCGCCTAATGTACTACCAATTCCTAATGTTGTTAAATCGAATACTGTTAAACATCGTCGTAATGGTGTATT